CCCCCCCCGCTCGTCTTCCCTCCAGCCTTGCAGCTGCTGCCGAAGGGAAAGGGGGGCTCGCTTTACCATGCCCTGGCTTCTAGCCTGAACCACTGCAGGCATGTGCCTTGATTTCCAGAATCTAAAGTGAATGTCTATTTACTTGCAAATTTGTTCAATCTACGCAGGTTAGATGAACCTGTAAAGATTGAATTAATTCAGGCTCAGGCTTTTTGAATGTCTGTACTTAGCCATAGTCATCTCTAATCTGCTCAGTGTCATTCCTGGTATTATTGTTGGTGCTTACATTGATGAGTGGGAAGGGGTAAAGGATGGGTGAGCTTTGGCTGTCTTTCTGTGACGTCCTGAATTTGGGCTCCAGGCAGGCAGCACACCTCCCGAGACCCCAAATCTGGATAACACATTGGTGCATCTGTCCCCCACAGAAAGGAATCACCAACCACCACCACTCTTTTTTCTTTTTGGTGGAGTGCTCCTGAAGTCCCTGTCCTTGAGGCTTTGTGCTTCCTGCTCTCTAGGCTGCTGCCTCATCTGCCTCATGCCTGCAGATGTCCTCTCCTCTGTCTTTTTCTCAGCAGTTCCACCTCGGAGTGCTTGAAAGTGGTTGCTGACTTCAGTGTGCTGCTCTTCAGTTCTGCTCCTCAATCTTTGAGTAATCGCATGCTGCCACTTCCCCTCATTGCACAGTGGCCTCTCCAGTACCAGCTTCTTGCAACTCTTATCTTCCTGATCCCTGATGCAATGCAGCATGGACACCTTTGCTTCCAGTCTTTGAATTTTCTCCAGGGCAGACACCAGCTTACACATGGTGCAGACGAAGTGCTCCTCACCCTCTTGGAGGAACATGAATGTGGTGCATCCCATGCAAGTCACAACAGCTGAGCCAGACTCCATTTGTGCCTCCTTTGGTCCCTGGATAACACTTATGCTCTATGGAGAAAAAAAAATTACTGAAACTATTCTAGTAGACACTCTGAAACTATTATAGTAGAAATAATCCGTGTGCTACAAGGCAGCTTTGGCAACTAGAAGATTCCTGATGGAGGAAGGCAAATCGAATACTGCAAAGTCCTTCAGAACTCATTGAATGGTGAAAGGCCTATGAGATGAACAAGGAAGTGTAATAGATAAATTGGAGTACAATGATGTTTGCTTTACACAGTCTGACCCCTTGTGCTTACGAGAATAAACATGACAGACAGACACTTTCACTCACACTCGCACATGCAAACAAACGTGTGTAAGGAAATCTTCCCTATACTAGCACTCGGCACACAGATGCCACCCAGACATCTGACCCTCCAGGGCTTGGATCACAGTTGGAACTGGTACACTCATACTGGCCCATTTCTAGCTTCACTACCCAAACTTGTAAATGATGTCAACTCACTGGTTCACAGACATGAAAACTTGGTGGTCTCGCTAGTAAATCTGCCCTTTGTTGTTATTGAGGAAAGCCACATAAAGAAGCAACAAAAACCCTCCTGATTTCATCTATACTGCCTTTGAAAAAAAAAAAGACTTGAAAGACTCTAGATTCATGTAAGATTACTTGATAACTTAAGAGAGCAAATTTCTGTCTAACAATTTTTTTTTCTTTTGTTTATCTCAGTTGGAGAGTGTATTTTGGAACCTCTGTCTTTGCCAGAAAGTCCAGGTGGTGTTGTTGCTGTAGAAAGTTCTCCATCTGCGCCTTGCATTTTTTGTGAAGAATATTATCCTTTATCAGAACAAGACCAACTTTTGAAGCACATGATTATTGAACACAAGCTTGTCATAGCGGATGTCAGGCTGGTTGCAGATTTTGAAAGGTAAAGTTTTCTTAGTTAAAAATATATTTGGGTGATGTGTAGCAACCCCTCATATGCCTAGTACATAAGTTTTCTGAAAGACTTTTGTATGTTTGTGAGCAGTTTTATTTTTTCTGCGGGTACTTCCTGTCCTATTGTTACTGTTGTTTTCAATGATAAAAGGAGGTATTTTGATTTTAACATGGGTTATAGTATTTACTGTGTGAGAAACAAATTGTCCAGCAGGTCTCTGGCAATTTTAGTGTCTTCGGTGCAGCTATTTATTTCATGCACCACATTTGTAGTCTGTCTGTTCTTTCTATTTCTGCCTGTCCTTCCAGTACAAACCTTTGTTCCCATCGCTCAGGTTCTTTTTGTCAAAACCCTGACAATGGAGAACAAGGAGGGCTGGTTAGTACACGTGCTTTAAAACATCGGATTGCATCCAAGAACTCATACTTGTCTCCTATAGCGGCCTATATTTTTCTGTATAAATTGCACTTCGTATCTTATGGTACTGTGACATCTTCCACAGCTGCTTCACCAATGATTCGAGCAAGATCACATTTCTCTCCTTTACCTTCCCCTGTAGCTGGCAAGACCTAGGTGACTCTTGCATGTCAATATATAGTCTAGTCTACTGAGTTGGCTCTTGTATCTAGTGTTTTGTGGTTAGCAGGGATCTGGGATTTCTGTTTCCCACAAAAAAACACAAATTTTCTTCTTGAAAGGAGAGAATCCTCTACTTTCTCCTTTAAAGGAGAGAAACCCAGGAAACTATGGGTTTCCCCTTGCAGGCTGGCAGAGTTCCAGCCTGCAAGGGGAAACCCATAGTTTCCTGGGTTTCTCTCCTTTAAAGGAGAGAAACCCAGGAAACTATGGGTTTCCCCTTGCAGGCTGGCAGAGTTCCAGCCTGCAAGGGGCTGCTTCAGGCCAAGCAGAGCAGGAGGAGGGCAATCAGAGGCAGGGGGCGCCATGTACACCTGTGTGTGTGTGTGCGTGTACGCATGCGCGCACACGCACACACACAGTCCCTGCCTCCCTCCTTCATTGTGCATGTGCGCATGCACACTAATATCATCAGGCAGCATGCTAGAAAGCAGTTCCCTTCAGGTAAGTCTATTGGGAGGCATAGGTGATGAGTGAAGTGTAGGGGGCGCTCCCCTGTGGCTGATAGCAAGATGGCCGACCACTCCACTCCTGCCTGTCCCCCCCACCTGTCGCCCAAGTGGCGAGCATGGTTAGTTAAGGGGTGCACGTGCACCCCTGTGCAGCCCCTACACATCGCCACTGGAGCCATGGGCAGCTCATCCCAAGGGTGGGGGCAGGCAGCAGATCCCCACCACTCAGGGAGGGATTGGGCCCATAGGCAATGTGTCCGGGAGTCTTGGGGTGGGGACCTGTCTCTCCAGACTTCTGCACCCACAGTGGGGCATGGGGCTGCATCCTGACACTGAGCAGGAGCTGCCTCTGCAGCCCAGTGACTGGGACCCAGTGTGGGAGAGCAGGGCAGGAAGGCTCAGTGCCACTGCCACTAGGAACACCGCATCACCATAGCTGCCAAGGTGAGGTGCCTTGGCAGTGGCACAGATTTGGCCCCTCCATTGTGACCATGGCAGTACTGCACTTGCAGTGGCAGCAGCATCACAAAGCTTCCTGCCCTGCTCTGTGCAGAAATCTTGAGGGGTGCATGCCCCCTCCTATTCCACCCCCAATGAATCATGTATGGGTGTCTGGGGGCAGGTGGCAGTGGGTCAGGAGTGAGAAACTCTGGCAGCGATGGGAGGCTGTGGGTCAGGAATGAGGGGCACCAGTAGAGCTGGGGGCAGGGGGCTGTGGTTTGGAAGTGAGGAGCAACACCATGGGCAGGGCACCGGCATATCAGGGCTGCTCAGTGCCACACAGCAGCGGTGGGAACAGCCACAGCTGGACCCATGTCCTGGTGAGGAGGCAGGGGGAGCTCTGACTTTTTTCCATGATTTAAAAAAAAACAAAAACAAAAAAAAAACTCAAATCACATGCCAAAATATAGAGGTATTTAGAATTTATTTTTTTGTAATGATTGAGGCACTGATAGGTCTCCAAATTGTTTTAAAATTGCAAATACATAAATAAAACATTGCATTCAGCTGATACCTATATATAGAGCGGCATTTCATTT